GAGAGAGAGAGAGAGAGCTTATGGTTTCGATCAGTATACCTTATTTGGGTATGCAAAGAGAGAGAGAGAGAGAGAGCTTATGGTTTCGATCAGTATACCTCATTTGGGTATGCAAAGTCTTTAAGAGTAAATTGTACATTTCATAGAGCAAGTATGGAAATGTTTCATCATTTTCAAGGTTGATATTCTCATCAATTTGGACACAGAGCTCAGATAGACATCAATGTGCTCCCATTTTTCCAATCCAATAAAAAAACCCAAAGATCATGCATTGTGCATCAATGATGTCTGGACCATTCATCAAGCCTGCTATTTGCTTAACCAGCGATGACAAAAATTCCTATTGATGAACAACTGCAAAGAATAATATTATAATAATAACATATGCAACTTGTTACCTGGGATTGCCAACCGTTCCATAACTTTATGAAGAGGATCAGAACGGAGGCACATCTGACACCGCTGCCCATTCAAGTAGCTGTAAGGAGAGTTTGCATCTTGTCCTAGTTGCAGGGCCTGAAAGTAGAGATAGACATGAAGAAATTTGATAGTTAGCCCATCTGGGATATGAATACCCGAACAAAAGATGAGAAAGTAGACATTATTTCTAAAGGGACCCTAGTGTTTAAGAAAAAGCATAGCAGAGAGTGTGTGCGTGTGTGTGTGAGAGAGAGAGAGAGAGAGAAAGGGAGGAGCAATGGTGAAATTGTAGAATTTCTTATTTATTATTGCCAATAAAAATACCCAGTAAAGTTGCAAACACAACTGCAAGCATCAATACGCGTGTACCAATTTTTTAAACTTCCGGGTTACTGACCAAGGTAGTAAACTCAACCATCAAAGAAATAGACAAGAATATGCAAGCCTTGATCAAGGAGAATAATTGGCGTCATCCAGAACTCAAAAGGACAAAGATCCTCCGGAACTCATTGTACTTTAATTTCTGGAGAAGTTATAATAAATAATAAGCTCAAATTATCAAAAATAGTAACTATTTTCATTTTTTATTTTCAACATAAGTACATTACAGTAGCCATGTGCATTTGGCAAATATAATTTGGTCCATTACAAACAAGTTCTGTACAAACATTTTTGCTTTGTTTGGGTACATGGTCTCAACTGCACATAGCACAATGTTCGCCGCACATGTAAATTAAAAATTTCAACAAGTAGATATTACACCTCAGTATTTTGCAAATTTGACCATGTTTAATGTCTTCGGTTCTCAATATTCCATCTAGCAAAGGTCAACTCCTAAGAGGTCACCTCTACTCCCAAGGTAGCAGCCTAAGCTGCTGCATTCCACCACTAAAACTAAAACAGAAGCAAAAACAAGCCTTTTCTTTACAACACACAAAGGGCAAGCTCCCTAATTTTGCAGTTGACATAGTGTGATTTGTTTCAGGCAGTATGCTCTCTCATATGGTAAATTATGCAAGTCCAGTTGAATAATCCACTTCCTAGATATGCCGAAACTCCAATGACATTCAAGCTTCATACCTTCTATTGAGGATTCCACTTCCAACTAAACAATATAAAAAAGATTAGACTTCAACTAAACACAAATATCCTGTTCTAAAATTTGTACTTTACTGGCTTAGAATTTAAGACTAACATATCCATATATAAAGATATATTTTGCTTAAACAAATATCATAAATGAACTTTTTTATTTTTGCATTTTTTTTTTTTTACTTTATATCTTTCTTCATAAAGCAAAAGGTTACCGTAAAATCTTTTTAGTTTTAGTTTACCTTTCTGATGAAAATATTCAACATCCATAAGTGTTTCAACTACCGCACTTGAAGTTTACCCAACTTTTTCAGCCAGGTGATTCAAGCGCCAGTCTTGAACAAGCAGATTGCTTGGTCCACAAAAAACCAGCAAGTCTTAAGTGTCATTAGAGGATGGTCAGACTGTTTCTCTTCCTTGTAAAGTCTCAGCTAGCAAAATTTCTATCATTTTATTACTTCTTAAATCAGCAGAACATACTTGTTAAAAGGTAAAAATCAGTTTATTGAAAGGAAATGAAAACACAAAGAACTCTGAACAACTCAAGTGATTACGTAACTGTCTGCTGCAATTCAATAATAACTGCATAAGAGATCTTTCTCAAACTGCATGGAGTGGCACAAGACATGACTGACACTCAGTGATTCAAAAAGTGGACCGCCCAGCGCCTAGGCGGTCCAGAAGGCCCAGGCCTAGGCGGCCAAACTGGGCGGCCAACCCTGAGCGGCCGCCTAGGCGGTACGGAACCCGCCTAGGCGGCCAACAGGGGGCAAAAATTTTATTTTGTTTTTAAGTTGTATTGATTTTTTTTGAAATATAAAGGGTTTGAAAGATGGGTTTTAAGTTCATTTCAAACCTAAACCCACAAGAACTCATTTTAGAGAGAAAGAAACCCCAAGAAAACTAAATTTTGTGACTTTCATTGGATCGAAGTGCTTCTCAAACTTACGGAAACGGATCCAAACATCACTCAGGTAGATTTGATTTAGTTTTGGAGATTTATAATCCTATTAGAGGGTGTTTCTTATTATTTTAGCACCAGAAAACATCTTAGAGGTGGGAGGTTTGGAGTTCAAGTAACCAAAATAAGTGCAAAAATTTATTTTTTAGATTGCTTGTTTTATTTTGAGATGTTTTCTTCAGGATCTAATCGAAGTGGAGATCCGGGTTGAAAATATAGATATAACCCGAACCCAAATGACAAAAACTGCATCTAATGCAATTTTTGTGAAAAAAATACGAAAGGGAGAATAAACCGGTTCAAGAAGCATATTGCCAGTATTAAGGGGGATGTTGCCCCTTGTAAAAAATTTCTTGAAGCTATCAGAGAGGAGATTAAGCAATACATGAGTTTTGTAAAACAAAAACAAGAACAAAATCCTTGTCATTTTAATAGAACTATTTTTGCTACTTGTAGAAGAATTGATCCGGGTTGGAAGTATGGTTCTAACCCAAAACCAAACGATAAAAATTGTATAAAATATAATTTTTGTGAAAAAGATATCAATGGGGGCATTAATTGATTCAAGAAATACCTAACTGGAATTAAAGGGAATATTGCCTCTTGTAAAAAAGTTCTTGAAGCTATTCGAGATGAGATTAGACAATTTCTGAATTTAAAAGAACCAGAAAATAATGAAAATGAGCCTTGTTCTACATAAATATCTTCTCCAGGTTCTTTTAAAAGTGGTGATCCGGGTTGGAAGTATGGTTATAACCTGAATCCGAATGACAAAAATCGTATTAAATGTAATTATTGCGGAAAGGATACTAATGGCGGCATTTACCAGTTTAAAAAACACCTTGCCGGTATTAAAGGGGATGTTGCCCCGTGTAAAAATGTTCCTGAGGCTACCAAGGAGGAAATTATACAATATTTGAGTTAAAGGAAGCACAAAAAGATAGAAAAGGGTAGAGCAACCAAGACTCCTAGGGCCCCATCCACACATACTAGTAAGAGAGAGGAAGAAGAAGAGGAGGAAGAGGCAGATTTAGAAGAAACAAAGGAGGACGAGCGTTATATTGAAGAGGAAGATGACTTTGATGATGATGACCTCAATTCTGATGCATATGATGAAGCTGTTATTCCTTCTGATGATGATGATGATGATGACTGAACTCTTGGTGTTGAGCATTGACTGTTGACTATTGTGTCTGTATATTTTCTGAATTTCTGTATATTTTCTTTTTCTTATTTTTAGTTTCTACTTTCTAGTTTTTAGTTCTACTATCTAACTTTGTGTGTAGAGTCTAAAGTGTATCAGACTATCAATGTATGCTTGTATGGTTCTACTATTTTAGCATTGTATGAAAAATATGGATTATGGTCTTCTGGATTATAAAAATACTGGGATTATGCTCTTAGTTTTTTTCCTTTTTCAACTGGGCCGGCCAGGTTCTGGGCGCCCGCCTAGGCGCTGGACGGCCTGGACCCCCATGGCCGCCTGGGGGCTGCCTAGCGCTTTTTGAAACTCTGCTGACACTTCACCTTCAAGTTGACTTAAACAACATTTAATATTTGATAACTTCCATAGCATTTCAAATACAGGCCCTCCAAATCTCGCACAACACTATGAAACTGAAAATTCATAGCAGGTGTGCCCTTTTAATACTTGTTTCTCCATTGTGTTTAAACCTAGAAAGCCAGATATGCATCACTAGGTACACTATTTCCTATCTAATTGCACCTACCATATCCAGAAACAGACAATAGCTATTCCTAACAAGGATTCCAAGTGATTGAGAAAATTACAAATCATGAAGACTCTGCAGTCCACACAAAGTATACCTAATTGATTAGCCCATAAATGCAGGAATTCTTTTCAAAGCACAAGGCTATATAAGTTTTGCCAATGAAGAAAAGGTTAATACTTTAATTGCACCTACCTGATGAATGTTCATTTCATCAAGGCGAATCTGTGCATAAGCTCTGTCTTTTGCCAAAGCTGTGATATCGCTGTTGATGAAAAAATAAACACATTTGAAAACACTCAAATGAACAGTTATTCAAACTATATTCATATATTTTTACAATGACAACTTTTGTGAACAAGTAGACTGTATGCTGTGACACATAAATGTAAATAGGACTACAACAAAGGTTTACCTTCTAGAATATATATCTACCAGGGAGTCACTGTCATTGACGATGGGAATTGAACTAACTTGGGCTGCAAAGAGAGCGAGATGCATGAGCAAGGGGAAAACTATTAAATAAGAACGTCATCTAGAAGGCCAAAAATTCATTATTAAAGTTTTTGGCAACCAACTAATGCCCATTATCATCGGTATTCCAGTCCACTCAGAGACAAAAAAGGACACTCGTTATTGCATCATGTGAACAGAAACAAAATCCATTCTAGTATATAGTTCTTCAGAATAAAACTGCAAAATTAAATGGAGAACTTCAATTAGTATGAAAGCATTGCAAAAATATAAGAAAAAAATCATAAACAGAACTCACACCATTTCATTGATTTTACCAAAATGGAAGAGAATGTAAATAGATCAAAAATAAGTTAATATTTTTTGAACCATTTATAATGAGAAAAATATAATTAGTGTCCAACCATAGGGAATCAGGCTGTCTCCAAAATATGGTCTGACCTATCTAGCCATTAGACCAAATGACATGTAAGAGCATATGAGAAATAACATGGTTCCATACTGATGTAGATACATTTGAGGAAATAGTAAAATCAACAAGGAACAAAACCAAACACAATTCAAAGAAACCTATGGTTTCTTCTCCATACCCTAAGCTAAGGTTCCAAAAGCCTAAGCTCTTATCTCTTTCAATTTCTAAAAATCATGTAGAATGACCCCCTCAAGGCCACACACACATCTTCTATATTATAATTTAATGTTCCAAGTACGAAAAATGTCCAAACAAACAATATATTGACTCATATATCCTAACTTAACTTAAAATTCGTAATGACAGTTTAACCCCTGTAAACAGTACCCATGAACAATACTTCCTGAACAGTAATTGTAAATAGTACTCATGAAGTAAATAAAAATAAATAAAAACTAGAATCCCTGAAAAACTAAAAAACACTAGAAATAAACTCTAAAACTAAACCTATAATATACATCTTTTGAAATTGAATAAAAATTATAAGATAATTTTGCCCTGCATCACATATAGAAATGTTTAAGCTGCCTTTAATGTGAAAAGAGGCAGTGCAGGTTAGTCATAGCCATTGAAAGCAGGTAGCATGATTGATAAGAATGGGAACATGATCCCTATGATTGACATAGTCCTTTGAATTATAATTAGCTGATATAACTGCTTAATTCAACCACTAATCAAGTCCTCTCATACCACAAAACAAGAATTGCAAAAGGTCTATGTTGGAAGGATTTTGCCTATATGGGACTTGTTCCTCGTTGTTATCACTAAAATAGCTCTTCAATAGATCATTCCAAAAAAAAAACTAGCTCTTCAATATCTATGGCTAGCAAGGTAGTTATCATTCTTTTGACTGAGTACGAGAGCTAGATACTCGACTACTGTAAAGATTTAATCCAATTAGTTGTCTTTTAACAAGACATGGAAACTTCTTTTGTAAAAGAAAGTAATGTATGCCTTTGTTTTAGAAAAGATATCTTTTTCATTTGAAATGGAGGGAAAATATTTTTATAATTTTCAAATAAGAAAAGAAAGAAAAACTATTCTATTATTTGGTACAGAATACTCAAAGAAATATAATAGGGGTCTGTTTGGATAGGAGGAAATCAAGAATCTCAGATATTTGAAATCCAAGGAAATCTATGGATTTTCAATATCAAGGATTTTTGTCATGAATTCCTCAAATCCTTTGTTTGTATAAACTATACAAAATTCATGTATTCCTTGTAATCACTTCCATGTCTATTGTTTGGTAACAAAACTTGATACAATTTCTCTCTCTAAATTTTTTAAATACTCTCTCTAAAGCTCAAAATTTGGGATAGTGTATCTATAAAATTTTTGAGATTGTTTCTCTCTCTAAAATTTGATATGGTTTGTCTCTCTAAAATTTAATATACTTCCTCTCCAAAATTTAAAATTTGAAGTTGTCTACCTAAAAATTTTGAAATAATTTCTCTCTCTAAAAATTTTAGGTGCTTTACACTCTAAAATTTAATATAGCTTCTCTTTCTAAAATTTTAAGATACTCACTCTCTAAAATTTAAAACTTGAGATAGTTCCCCCCTTCAATAATTTTGAGTTAGTTCCCCTCTTCAATACTTTTGAGATAGTTTCCCTCTCTAAACATTTTTAAGTAGTTTCTCTCTCTAAAATATGCTATAGTTTTTCTCTCAAATTTTAAGATAAATTCTCTTTCTAAAAGCTAAAATTTGAGATCTGTCTAAAATTTTTGAGAGTTTCTTTCTCTAAAAAATTTTATGTACTTTCTCTCTCTAAAATTTGATATAGTAACTCTCTTAAATTTTAATATACTCTCTCTCTAAAATTTTGAAATAGTTTCTCTTAAAAATTTGATATAAGAGTCTCTCTAAACTTTGATATACTTCTCTCTCTAAAGTTTAAATTCTGAGACTCTCTAAAACTTAAATTTTGATGTAGTTTCTCTCTCTAAAATTTCATGTACTTTCCCTATTTGAATTTTGATATAGTTTATTTTTCTAAAATTTTAATATACTTTCTCTCTTTAAAACTTAAATTTTGCGATAGTTTCTCTCTCCAAAAATTTTGAGATAGTTTCTATCTTTAAAATTTTTTAGGTAGTTTCTCTCTCTAAAATTTGATAAAATTTCTATTTCTAAAATTTTAATATATTTTCTCTTTCTAAAATTCAAAATTCAAGATAGTTTCTCTCTAAAATTCAAAATTCGCGATAGTTTCTCTTTAGAAACGAGATATTTCTCCCTCTAAATTTTTTTAACAATTTCTCTTCCTAAAATTTATAATAGTTTCTCTCTAAAAGTTAATTTTAAGAATACTTTCTCTCTCTAGAACTTAAGATTTGATATAGTTTCTCTCTAAAAAAATTTGAGATAGTTTCTACTTCTAAAACGTTTTAGTTACTCTCTCTAAAATTAAAAATAGTTTCTCTCTCTAAAAATTAAAATATGAGATTGTTTCTCTCTAAAAATGTTGAAATAGTTTCTCTTTTAAAAATTGAGATAGTTTCTCTCTTTAAAAATTTGCATGTACTTTCTCTTTAAAATATGATAGTTTCTCTCTAAAACTTAAACTTTGAGAAAACTTCCCTCTCTAAAATTTGAGGCAGTTTATCTCTCTAAAAAAAATTGGTACTTTATCTCTGTTAAATTTTAACATACTTTCTCTCTAAAAGTTAAAATTTGTGATAGTTTCTCTCTAAAATTTTGAGATAATTCATCTCTCTAAAAAAATTTAGTAATTTCTCTCTCTAAAATTTTAACATGCTTACTAAAATTTTAATATTCTCTCTCGAAAAGTTAAATTTGAGATAGTTTTGCTCTCTAAAATTTTGAGATAGTTGTTCTCTTTAAAAAATTTAGGTACTTTCTGCCTCTAAAATTTTCATACCTACCAAATGCTCCCTATGTTTCAGGTAGAGGGAGCCAATGAGTGAAATCCATGGGCCTTGGAAATGCAAAAAAACAGGTTTTGGAGTGGAAATGAAATCATGGAAAAGTAGGTCTTATTTCCATGATTTTGATTTTCCTGCTTTTAAGTATCCTAGTCATTAAACAATCCAAACGGTGGATTTTGACAATATCCAAGATATTAGGAATCCATGCCTTAAAATCCATGCACCCAAACATGCCCTAGAATAATTCTATATCTCATAGAAGACAACAGTTCAAGAAACCTTTGGCGATCAACAATAGAATGTGAGTTAACACAATCTAACAGCATGCTAGGACAACCACGTAACAACAATCATGCAGTGTTTGAAAAATCCATGATGCGACTCAGGACTTGTCCCAATAAAGTCACATTGGGAACCTGGCAACTATTCTGCGCAACTATTCTTGTTTTCCCATAGGAATCGCTCGAGTCAATCCATTTCTAGGCCTTTCTGGCCATAGAATTGGCGAAGTCTTGTTGAGACCCACTAACTTGACTTGCCATAACTCAGGCTCAGGGCCCTTGAAAGTCCCTAGGCGACTCCAATTTTTAAAACACTGTACGAGAACCTATCCACTGTGTCCAAGCGATCAAAGCAAGTTAACTCAACAGGCCTCCATTAACCAGAGAAACAAAATCACATAATCCAAAGAACTAGTTAAAATAAGAAACTCGATTTACCTTGCAGCAATAATGAGAGGGCAGCACTTAGAGAGGAATTCAGTCTCAACATTGCTAAAGGGCGTCCATTCGGGTCCCCTATTTTCGGAACCCAAGTACCCAAACCCATTGAACAAATTGGTTGTTCTAGAATAGGCAATGAGCTAGATGAATGTCTAAAATGCCTGCAAATACCTGGAAAGTGAAACATCATCTGTCAGATATGAACAAAGGCTGGGTTCGATGGAGTCAGTATATAACAGAACTTACATTTCAGTATTCCAGAAAGTGATGCCAAGTGAAGCAACTGAGAAAATGACCCATCTCGTGAAGAAGAATGGATAATTGGAATGGTAGCAACCCCATTTTGAAGAATTTTTAGAGCTACATCTTTCAAGGTATCAAAAGGACCAGCCTGCATATCCAAACACTCATAAGGAAGTAGTCTAAGAGACTAGCATTGCCAAAGAAATGCACAAACACTTCCAAGTAGCTAAACTTGAAAACGATTATGCTCCTCTTCAATCACATATCAAAAACTCTATGCATGAATAAATCCTAACAAGAACCACCCAAAGAAACAACAACAAAAGCACATGAGGAAAATTATGTTCTGCTAAAACGTTCTTTTTATGACGCATATATATAAGTTTCATTTGCATCAGGAAACACATGAAAAATCTTTCATCTAAAATCCGATACTACAAAAATTCTTAGGTCATACTCCAAAAGAGAACAGCTATATCACATTTTTTACTCAAGACAACGTAGCAAGGAGTCCTGCACCTGCCACGACAGATTCTATGCTGTCTGCAGGCAATGAACTAAAGCAAAATCTTATCACAAACATTAAGGCCCCATTTGGAACAACCAAATTTGGGAATAAGGAGTTAAAAGTGGCCCATTTTGGTTGACTCAACTATTTATGGGTGCCTCACTTTTGCATCCCCGCTTATTAACAAAATGGTCTGTCACCCAGCAACAAAAATTGCTTGTTTCCCCCTTTCAAACAACCGCTATAGTGGAGATGTCAAGCCATCCAAATAGCGTCGAAGGTTCTTCATTACTACAAAATCATTTCATGTAAAAATTATAACAAAAGATACGTCACCCATGAAACAAAGAATGCTATATAAGGAGGAAAAATATAATGCATTACCACCGCATACACTCATGAATGTTGGCATGAACCTCTAACAAGCTTCCCTTTAGACAATATCCTTCAAACTTATGTTGAATGAACACCTCAATTATTCACATATCCCCACACCCCTAGCCGAGGAAAAATTCGAATATATCTGTACATGGGATTCGATATATCTGTGACTTAATATGTATTCGTACAAGGGTATTTCGGTAATTTGTACCATCTATTTGAGACTCGATATCTATTGTTGCAATTGAGGGTTCATTAAGGGTTAAAGGAAAAATGCATAATGCTTTGTAATCAATCAAAGAGGCGTGAGGAAGAGAGCTTTTGTAACCCTATTCTCCATGGCCAATAAAGTAGTTCTCATCTCCTGTGGACGTAGGCATGTTGACTAACCACGTATATTATTGCGTTGTGGTTGGTTGTCTCTTTCTTTTGTGTTCGTTTCTTCTTTCTAGTTTTCGTGGATTGCTTTTCGTTTTTACACCCATGCCCCCACCCCGCCAACCCCACAACTCACTACACCCACAGATTATTTCCACCCAATGAGATAATACCACTCATTTCACTGCTTATTCTGGTCTCCTAAACATACTTTAAAAATTCCTACATTAACAAATCATGGAAAAGCTTCCATCTCGACCTCAATCCACAGTTGTATACTCAGTATCCTTCCCCATTTGAGGAGGATCCCCTATACATATCCTGAACTGTCTTCTACGACCTGTGCCATTACTCAAACCCTTCGATCCCAACTAACATGATGTGTACATCCTTCCAAACATATCCTCGGGCTCCCACATATCAGAACCTCTGCTGTCAACCTCTAGCACCACATGACAAGGATGTCAACAAGCCCCCCCTCCACACGTCTCAGACTGCCTGTGCAAAAATGTTCCCACAATTATAATCCATGGGCCCAATCCTAGATATGGCTCTCATCCACATTTGTAACTTGCCACTCCTAATGATGGACGTAGCCACCTTGCCCCCTCTAACCTCTCTGATAAAGCTTTCAGCCCCACCTATCCTCTATAATATTCACTTACTAAAATGAACAGGAACCAACCTATGAACTCCACCATATTCTTCAAAATCGTCTTTACTACACCCCCTGAAGTGCCCTTTCTGTATTCTTAACCCCGCCAAACCTCCTGAATCATCATGGATCATAATAACTCCCACATCATTGGACTATCTAGTACCTTCTCGTACCATCCCCTAAACATGTCGGGGAATCATTTTTCAATCAATTTCACCAACAAAAGACTTTTCCATGAAATCATGATGGATCTACAATTATTTAATTTGATTAGTTGAACACAGTTCTTTTAATATGAATCTTCAACATAATTTTTTTTTTAACAAGATTAATTCAGAAATTAAATGGTAGACACCTAAATGATAGAAAAAATAGTGCAACAACAGAGACAGCAAGCAAGTACGAGGTCATTGAACTCCATAAAGCCAATCACCAAGGAAACCTAGAAGTGCGAGTGGCACTTCATAATAGTAAGGGCATCCAACACTATGCACACAAAAGGTACATGTTACATCAGTGAAAATATTTAAAGGCATGCCCAATAAAATGATTTTAATGCCATGAAGCGTGTGCCTTTCCCAAAGTCAAGCCAGACTTCAACAGAGACTCTCAAAGCACTCTAACATGAATACATGATACAATTTGCTGCCTTAATGAAAACATTTTGCTAATGAAACAACTTTGCTAAAGAATAAAAAACTGTATAAAGAAAGGGCATTCATGGAAACCAAATGGAATGCTAGAATACCATTCCATTAAATACGAAAGACTTACATGGATTAATTGCCTCTCTAATTGTCTTGAACTCCCTTCAGCTTGCCTGTTTAGGTGTAACTTTTCCTCCTTCCATGCAGATATTTTGTGTGTTTCAAGTTGTTCCTCGGTCAAACTCGAACCATGATTTCCAAGCTGCATATGAGAAAAGATTAAGACCTTACATGAAGGAAAAATGTGATCTAAAACAACCTGAAGCATTCAGCAAGCACAATGAAGCGACCCATTAATTCACTGCATTCCATAAAGCTTAAAGAAGACTCCAGAAAACTGCAAGAGCCTACTACAATCTCAGAGGTCAGCAACCAAAAGAATATAATGGAACAGTCATTCAAAAATTCCAACTTTCACGAACACGATAACCCCCAGCAGGATGCAACATACACTCAATTTGCTATTAAATATATTACAACAGGCATACATCTTTGCCCTACAATAGTAACTAAAATCCTAAAAACAAGCTATATGGAATTTTTAAGTGAAATCCTACATTCCAATCAAGACCCAAGCATTCCACGGAAGTGGACTAATCTACATCCTAGTTAATGTAAATTTCATGACTTTTGTGTACAGACCGCCATTTGTAACCAAAACGATGCTAAGTACGATAAAGAAATAAAAAATTAAATAAAGTAAAACCAAGAGATAATCTACACATTAAAAAGTTTGCAAAATTCATACTACGAAGACGGACAAAAGATTATAGAGAGAAAGATTCCTAAGTCTAGCACCTCGATCATGTGCATGCCAGGCTAAACCTATGGAGAACTATATGAAAGCTAAAACTCAACTTTGTGGTAGCGTCTCAGGGAATACTAGTCTGAAAGACAGGAATGGAGTTTGTACAGGTTAGGAGCAGTCAATAAAGAGTACTCAAACCCATTGGTGGGCACAGTAAGCATCCCTGATGCTCTGCCAGAGCCCCATTGACAGGCATAAATGTTTTCTTCTTGCATCCCCAGTTGAAGAAAGATGTATTTCTGGCACATAACTAAAATGCCAGATTTCACTATCACTTACAACTTCAGACTTGTCTGAGAGGGAGAAAGAGAGATTAATATTGGCCTTCGAAATTTTGTAGTCTTGCTTTCGAACATACATTCCAAAAAAACAAACGACCACTTTCAACCAACTGAGAACATAATAATGACTCATGAGCCCTTCCCGGTCTCTAACTTAGCATGACTACCAGACTTTAGCATACTTTTCAAGAACTAAGCAATCTTTTTTTTATGTAGTTAAGATAACTTTAACAAGGGAGAGGAAATTTCCATGATCATGAATATCCATGGTTGTCGGGCTCCGGTCTCTCAGCAATCTTCCTTTGGGGTTAATCATTGCAACCACAGTAGCACTTGATGCTCAAGTAATGGTTGGGATGTGTTGTAAGATAAAAGAATGTCTGTAATTATCTAAGAGATATGAGAATATTTATTAGGTTCACTACTGAGAGAGATGTGCAAGCATAAATGAGAACAATCAGTGATCTTTGTGCCAAGTTTCAAGATCACCGCGAGATGCCATCCTTCGGCTGCCGTTGTGCATTAATGTGTGTCAATATTTCAACAAGTGTTGACACCCTTCAAAATGAAGGGACTGTCAAAAAGAATAAAACCATGCACAAGTTCCAACTTCCAACCCAAAACCTTTTGAAATGGCTTAATGTGAAAACAGAGCCATGCATACTTGAGTTTTAACATCAAGAAAGAAATAAAACTTCATACAGGAAAATGGAATGTTTTGCATAATATACTAATTGCACTGAAGTATCACATCATATTAGACTAAATACCTACGATTCTCGTATGACACTGACAAATGTAACTCTGAATAGGATGGATAATCTCAATGCATTCCTTAAAATCATATGCATGATAACAATTGCAAGCCTGTGACGCAGATTTGTGTTTCTGAATACCACAGATAAACTCACAACTAGTGGTATCAAATTCGCTTCACTAGGGCCGAAGAGGCCAAATTCTTTGGGTTTCACACCCAAACCAAAGTGAAGTAAATCTGAGAACACTTACTTCGGGTGCTTGTGATGAAAAATATTCTATATTTTGCCATTTTTTATTTTTTTTTATTTTTCCTTTCTTCATTCCTGTGGTGTGATCTACGAGAACATGTGTGGCAGCGGGTTCTATAATCTTATTTACGGGAAAAAAAAAAAAGCCGTCCCCTGAATCACCAAAGCACTTCGTTTTACCTACCAAACCAAGAAGCCTCCAAAGCAAATATAATAATGCATTTGCTAATAACAAAGTGTTACTCCGTAGGAGAGTAAAACAAGTCCCTAATAGCACTAGTAGGAACGGTGATTTGGTTCAAATCGAAAGCTCTAAATGGGCAAGGGCAAGTCCCCAAAGGTCATGGATGGAAGTATTGAGAAAAGATATAGTGACTTATGGTCTAACTAAGGGTATAATCCTTGATAGAGCGGAATGGCATGACAGGATTCGTGTAGCCAACCCCAAATAGTTGGGATAAGGCTTGGATGATAACGATGATGACGAAGATCATAATGTATTTAAATAAAGTTTTTAGTAACAATATAGGAGAAATCACATAGTTTTTGGCTTCAGAAAGAGCATAAAGTTGTATTTGAAGGGAAAGTTGAAGAAACTTTTCTACTACTAACTATCATCAAAATGTATAAGAGAATAAGCTTTGCCTTTTCCAATATATTCAAATCAACCGAACTAAAAAACCAAGGTCCCTTACAAGGTCTAAGTCACATTAGCATTCAAAGAAACAAGAACAATAAAACTAGACTGCAAAGTTCAGAAGCACAAAATATTTCTCGAGGACGACTGTGCCCAACGATTAATATGATTCACATATTATGAATTCAAAACTTATTCCAACTATGATACAAGAAATTCCACATAAATACCTCTCTCAAGATTAATATGAAATCCAAAGCGCTAAGAATGCCCACGAGTTGTCCCCTGTAAGAGTCCCAAAGAGGGGCAACAGAAATTCCCTAGAAACAGTTCAAAAAGCCAAATATCTTCAGTACAAATAGAACAAACCATAAACAGCTAAATATTGAAACTGGCAATGCTCAATAAAATCCAGCAAGAGACCAATCACTAATGAAAATACAGTTCAAAAATGTATCCGTAATCTAACAACAAATCATATTCAGAATTATAAAAATTTAGAGAACCATGAATGAGCCTATGGTTAGATCCTTTCAGAACTCAGAGTCTCAATCACTAATCATGGTTGTCAGGACGCAGGAACATCAGGACATCTGGAGTTCATTTCCCATGTAATTTATAAATTATATGTAAAAATTGCTAAGATGTAGGAGAAAAAACAGTGCAAGTTACAAATGCATAGAATATGCAAAATATAAATTATCCATGAAAGGCCCGCTGAGAAAAATAGACACACTTCAAAAACCAAAACATAAGAACACCATTATTTCATAGCAGCTAGAACCCAAGGTTCAGGGCTTCAAGTCAATCTCAAACGTTTCTAAGGGGAAAAGGATCTTCAGATAGGCCTATAAAGAAATTCCAACAACAGTACAGGTATCTCATAAAGCATTAGCTCTTTGTCCTAGTTTTCCAATGAAAGTGTGTTTTCACTTGCACAATGATCAATTTCTAAAGAACAATATTTCTAAAGGAAGGAAGCAGAAGCAACTGTGCATAATTCAATAGAGAAAAAAAATCATTGAACGCACCTGCTCATAAAGGATATGGAATGCTTGCTTTACGGGCAAGTTGACATCAAGAGCGAAAACCTACCAGCAAGTATAAATTAGCATAACTAGGCAGACACTCACCATATAAAGCAATATCCATAGGCGGTTACCATGTGTGAGCTCACAAAGGCGGGTGAAGCATGCAAACCTTGCCTGACTCAGGTAGTAACTCATAAGCCGTATGTGTAGATAAGAATACAGACACCCGCTGACGTGAGACATCAATATCAGCCTCTGATATCCTCGGGACCGGCTCCTGCAGGGCACCATCCGACAATGTGACCTGTTTCGTAAGCCAGGATGCCCATAAAGCAACAATTAAAATAGTTCATCCCATTACCACCCCCATTTTGTGTTTAAGGTCAACTTATAAGGGTGGAGATAGAAAGATGAAAAGATACGAGTGTATATCTACAATATATACATAATTTTGTATGTATAATTGTGGATATATGCTTTTCCACATTACATGTGGAAGCCTAAGTCATGCTAAGCTGCATAAAAATAAAACCCTTTAACTTGGTTAGTTTGCCCATGAAGTGCATCAATGCTTGAGATAAACTTAACTTTACAAGGAGTAGCACCTTAGAGGTAAAGGGAATACAAAGTTTCATATCTCTAAGTAAAACCGATAGAACACAAAAACAAAAGCAGTTTTAGAGCAGATAGATTTTGGAATTGATTGCGACTTTCTGAGAAAAACTCACCGCACGTCTGAATATCTCATTATCCACATCCATGTTCACTCCAGAGCCAGGGGTTTCTGGAAGCAAAACAGGAGGTACAGGCTCAGGTTCTCTGGCAAGCACGATGGTATTGACTATTCCATAGTTTCCATTCACAAAAGGTAGGCGTTCGTCATATCGCCACTCCCCATCAACATAAAACTTATACTGCAAAAATTGGAAACAAATACACAAATGGTTTACTAGCAATACACTCGATCCAATTATGTAATAAGCAACATGCAACATGAATTACATTTTCCTGACTACAAACTTCTAGACAAAATGAAAGCATTTTCAAGGGTTTAATGTATGGCAGTAAACACGGAAATCTCACAAAAATAGGTTTATCCATTGTCCCTGCATAAATATTTGGTAAGAGCATTGCTTGAAGGTGCTAGATGAAGAATCACATTCCTTACCTGGTGATATCCTGGTGTTAAATTGCAGATGGCCTGAAAAACAGTTGGGCAACCTTCCACAGGAGACATTTGCCTATGCTCTGACCACCTAATACATAGAATTTGGGACAGCGTCATGATCAGAAGACCGCGACCAAAGCAGCTTCAGAAATCTCTTTTCAACAAAATTCACACCCCCCATAGAAGAATACTGATGGTAGCAATATCTAGAGGGGTAGGTACAATACAATGGTAGCAATATCTAGAGGGGTAGGTACAATACAGCTCGAGTGTATATGCAGGATAACCATACAAAGCCTCGATATTAAATAATAGTTAAAGATATAAAAAGCTTTTCAAAAAATTGGTTTGGCACTACATCAAGGAGTGATGTGACGTCCTAGGCAGTCCATGGAAAAGAGTCAAAATGCAATAACTGCTTTTGTTTCCAGTTGAAAGTCTACTAATTGAACCAAATTAGCCCCATATATGTGTGTGTGTGTGTGTGTGTGTGTAGAGAGAAGAGATAGAGAGAGAGAGAGAGAGAGAGAGAGA